AAAGCTATGGGTTGCCATTCCTGTCTCACTTGTTGGGGTACGGCACCAACTGCGTGGTCGGACGCATCGGTGGCGAATGCTAGTTTGACGGAAGGATCTAGGTGAATTAATGTTGCGATGTTGCTGATTTCTCGTTTCAACGCATTGTAGGCGTCTCGAGCGGCTTGCGTGAACACCAATTTTTTTAGCCTTACCCCTAAGTAGGTCAGTGAGTAGCTGCATGAGCTGTGCACACTGAGGGATGAAATGATGATAAAAGTTAACTAAACCATCGAAACGTCGGAGCTACTTAAAGGTGGTGGGCTTCGGGTAGTCTATTACTGCCTGAATTTTGTCACTTGGTGGCACGGTACCTGTGGCTGTGATGCGGTGACCGAGGATATCAATGTTGGAGGCACCGAAAACACATTTTTGTGCGTTGACCGTGACACCGTGCTGTGCCAAATGGTAAAAAATGCTCGGAGGTGTACCAGACGTTCCTCACGTGATGAACTAGCCACTAGGATATCGTCTAAGTAAACAAACAGTCTATACCTAAACAAAAGTTGCCTACACAACGTTGGAAAGATTGCGGCATTGCTGAAACCGAATGGCATACGGAGGGATTCGAGAAGACCAAACTACATCATTCTACATTTCTGCATTTAGCGTTGTTATAGAGATCTCATTAATTCAGTCTTTTTTCGATAGGCTGCTTCGCAGTTGCAGTTCCGTGGGAAAAACCTGCACCATCAGTGCAAGAAACTGGGTTATCTCAACAGGAGACTGATAACTAATGTTTAAAGTGAATCGGGATTAGGTCTGTTGTAAGGGAATGGAAATACAGGAGAACCACTGACCAACACCAACTACATAGCCTAACGGTGCAGAGACTTGACCACTACAGGAAAATGATAAAAATAGATTGTCAGTGTTCGAACACCGCTGTCTACGTCGCATTGCACGAGTCTGGTGGGGTAACCGGAAGAGCAGTGTTGAGGCTAGGCGTAGTTTTAGGTAATTGTGATCGTCCACTAGAGCAAGTAGTTGACCCCCATAGATTACGTTGGTTGGAACATGTGTTACCCATGTCAGCAGATATGTTGCGAGCGATGTTAGCCGAGTCAGGTAGCGGGTGGAAGAAAGCCAAGGGTGGTCAAGCTAAGACCAAACACGAGTGTATGAAAACCCTGGCCACGGGACTGGGTCACATAGGTCCCGTTAGGCCCCTGGATGGGGACCCCGAGATCATAGTCACCATTGGTTAGAGACACTGAGCAAACAATGGCGATCATGCATCTACTCCTTAGTTTTTAAAACATAAGTCTATATAAATGCACTATCTTTCGCTTGAATTTACTCCCAATATTCTAATCCTCATTCTGCTGTTTTATCGAAGTGAGCAACCAAAAGACAGCAACAAAACCCGGCTCATGAAAGTGCATGGTTAATGGTTGTACAAACTGAAACTGAAACCCGAAGTATGCGAGTAGAACGATCTCAACAGTTTAACATACTGGGGCATACCTTTGCGAAGAATCAAATCCATAAGGGCTTTGCGGCCAATTTAGTCGAAGGTATCTTTGTGACTGAGCACTGCGATCTTTGGTCGACGGTGTGTATGGCGTATCTCGAGGACCTAACGCAGCTTGATGATTTGTTCGATAGAATCGCGGCTTGGTCAGAATCCTGCGTTTTGTACGCCGATGTTTTTCTCCCTGAAGGGAGTCAGACGTCAAAATATGATGAAGACTAACACTTTGGCAACGATTGAAATCAAACTCATCCCGTGGCGCATACTGCTAGGGTATTCAGCCACTAAGCAGGAGAACGATTAAGGTTCTCGTCCAAGGCCTTTAGTTCTAACAAGAACCTGACTGCAAAGAGGCGAATAAAGCAAAGTGAAGGCCCATTTGCTTGGTTCGATTACTACTTCACCATTTTACCGATTGAGACACCAACTTGAACCCCCAGCCTGGAGGACCGTGAAACTAGACTCTTTCTAACCTCTGCCTTCTGATTTTCCATCTATCTTAAGATCCCTTGGCTTGTTAAAAACCATCCTGTGCAGCTCGTTAGGTCTTGGAAATGCACAGACAATCACACCATGTCAAGGCGCAGTCTCTTCGTGACTGGATAATGCAAAACAAGAGACCTATACATGTAAGTGGCGTTTGGCTTCCTGGCTGGGGACCTCAGGATCATTATGATCAATGATTGGAACCACTGAGTAGAATGGTTGTGTTGATCATAGCTGGTGTTGGTGTTGGAGACGAGATCACATCACGAATAACGAAAGCTAGAGCAGCCTTCGCCAACCTACGACACATGTGGCGTCGCCATGACAATCGACTGTCCCTTAAGGGAAGGGTGTACATCGCCGCAGTTCGTAGTGTTCTGCTTTACGGTTGCGAGAACTGGCCTCTTCCAGCGGAGGATGCTAACTGA